CCGGCCCCTACCCCGGCTACGCTGGCCCAGGCTGGGCCCATGGGCGGCATAGCCGAGTGGGCGCGCTGAGCGCGGTGCGGGTCCTTGGTGAACCCCAGAGGCGAGCGTGAGCGAGGGCAGCGGGGTTGCCGGGCGGAAACCGGAGGACCGTGGGGATGGTCAGGGGTGCTGGCGAGGAGGAGGTTAACCTGTGTGGAGCCGGAGCCCCCAGTCTGGCCCGGTGGGCGCCGCGTTGGAGACGCTCAGGGGTGGCTGCGTCTGGCTGGCGCCCGGGAGAAAGCTGCCCAAGTGGTGAGCGGTACCGGTCCGCAGGGTGCAGGGCTTCGGCCGCTGACCTCGGCTCTCTAAGACGCCACGAACCAAGAAGCCCTTCCCCAGTCCCCCGCTGCACCCAGTGGACCCGGTCCAGCCCTCGGCGGGTCGCCGCTTTGCCGTATTATTCCCAGCATTTCCTTCTTACTCGGAGAGAAGGAGTTAGGGGACAAAAATTAAAGACCTAGGAGGGCCATTCGAGATCCAGCCTGGACCTGTCCAGCCCCTACGCAAGCCTCAGGCGCTTATGGCACGTAGATTTGGGGCCTGAATTGGAGAAGGTGGTCCCTAACTCAGAGCCGACAAGGGCAACGTAGCCTTGGTCACAGGAGGGGCAACCTTTGGCCCGTGGGAGACTCAGGAAAAGGCTTGTTCCATGTGGGGTGGGAGGGCTGTAGGTCCATGTCCCCTCTCTGGCCCGGACGCCCAAGCATTCCCACCTCTGGGCGCTCAGCGGGCCTCTGCGGAATAAAGACCACCTCCCGCCTGCTGCAGAGGGAGCTGCGATGCTTGGGGGAGGGGCGAACACTGCAAGGCCTGCTGCCTGCAACCAGCCTCCCTAGCAGGGAGCAGGCCAGGTGGGAGGTGCACAATGGTCTGACCTGGAGCGGGGGCAACAGCAGGACCGGCCCCCACCAGGTTATCTCTAGTGGGAGGATTTCCTTTCTGACTCCCTGCTACAAAGGCAGACAGGCTTCTGCTGGAGGGAGTTAGGGGCCTTGGTACTGAAGTGTATGTGTGCGGGGAGGCCTGTGGATGGAGGAGGGGGTGGCAAGATGTAGTGCATCTGCAGTGTTCTTGTGCAGCTTGGGGGGTGGGGTGCTGCAGGCCAGAGGAGCAGTGTAATGTCTGCTCAGTGCTCCTGCCCTAGGGCTCTGAGTGGAGGTCTGAAGACCCTGCACATCTGTCGCTTACTTATGGTGCAGACCACCCACCCTCAGACCCTGTTGCTCCCAGGACGGGGGCGGGCGTAAGCAGAGCTTCCAGTGCCTCTGCCTGCACCCTGCAGCAGGTCAGAGTTCCATGTGTTTGCTTCTCAGTAAATAAGCAGTCGCCACTGTTGGGCAGATCATGTGACCATAAGCTGGGAGTCCATCCTGGAGTCTGGCTGGAATACCTCTTGCTGCAGTCAGCCTCAGGATTCTGGTACTCCAAAGAGTGGCTGGGATGGTTCTATTTCTCTCCTGCCAACAACCTTGGGGAGGCTGCTGGGTGGAAGAGGCCACCTCTAGGAAGAGAGTTCCTTAAACAGAAACACAGAGCTTAGAATCTGTGTGTACCAGGACTTCTCCCACTATCACATCCCTTCCAGGGCTGAGATGGCCACCATGTGCCCAGAAGTTTCAGTCGGACAGGTGCCCAGGTGGGGCAATTGCCTGGGGTCTAGGGAGGTCTAGATGAGCAATTCCTAGAAGAAAGCAAGGAAGAGAGCCAAGCCCACAGCAAGAGACAGATGGTTAGACTCTGGCCACGAGGACTGTAGGGTCTGAGGCCACCTCGGCCTGGACCTCAGTGCAGTGGCTTGGCCCATAGTGCAGCACAGGGCACAGTGGCCAGTGGCAGTCCTGGGCTGGCCCAGGTATGTAGTGTGGGCTGCAAAGATCTGCAGATGAGGGGGTCTAGAAGAGGCCAGGTGGGAGTTGAAGAAATGGAGGTAATGTCAAGTCCTGAGACTCCACTTTCACTGCCCCAGGTGTCAAGCCCTTCTGCCCCAGCCTCAGCCCAGACTCCATTTCTGGGAACGGGGTAAGTGGGAGGGAGCTCCATCTCATCCCACTAGCTCCTAGGCCCACAGCTCCCCCAGGCTGGACTGACTCTGCTTGGATTTGCCATTGGCCTGGCAGAGACAGAGTGAAAGGTGACTCAGGTCCTGGCCCACTCATTCTAGGAAGCTGGGGGGTAGGGGCATGTGGGGGAGCTCAGTGAGAGTGGATGAGGGCAATGGAGGCTGACCCATGTGAGCATTGGAGCCCTTCCTCCGAGAGGTGCCCCCTCACCAGTCTCTCCCGACCTCCTTAATGTGGTGGTTTCTGCCTCCAGAGGTGCCCAAGGATACAGTGAGTTGCGTATCTCAACATCTTGGGTTCCCCACTGCTGGCCTCTTGAGCACCTGCCTAGGTGTGGGCAGGGGCTGAAGGCACCATCTGAATGAAAGACATGTCCCCATCCCCTGTGACTGTCAGTCCTGACAGCTAACACTAGAGGTAGGGGGTCCTCTGCCACTGAGTTGGTCAGTGCTCTGGACACAGATATGCCAGATGGAGGCTCTGGGCACAGAAGTCTGGGATGGAGGCACATCTGCGAACTGGCACCTGAGATACAGGTGTCCTGGGATTCTTGGGGACTTGGCATGCAGAAGGTGAGGATGTGTGTGTGTGCGTGTATGTATGTGAGTGTGTGTGTGCCCCAGCGTGCATCCAGTGCCACATGCCTCTGCACATGCTTTCACACTTTGCAATATTTCACCTGAATAATTGCACTGGAGTTTGAGGTGACCTGTGTGGGGGGGGGTGTGAAGCCCTGTGTGCACAGTCAAGGTGCCAAGTGACATTATCTGGCAAACAGAGAGCACCATGCATGTAGACACAAGAGCCAGGCAGTGTAGGTGCTGTGTACCTGGCCTCCCAGGGGAATGGGGGCTGCCTATGCCTCCTAAGAGGGCTATGGCCTGGGATGAGCTGCCTTCTGACTTTGGACTTGAAAGTGCTGTCTCCTAGGCTCAAAATATATGAGGCCCTGTGAAGTTATGCCTGAGGCACCCCCAACCTGCCTCCCTCCCACCCATCCTCAGACTCTGGAATAGAGTACCTAGGAGTGGATTGAAACCTGAGCTTGGGGTGGGAGAGCTGAGCAAATGGGTCCTTGAATAGGAGACTCAGGACCAAATAAGAGCATCCTGAGTGTCTCTGCTTTCCACCCCCAGCCCACTCTGGGCACAGCTGTGGGCCTTGAAATGCAGCATCTAGAGGAGGCCAGAGGTGAGGGACCTTGTAGGTGAGGCTTCCCGCAGGAGAGAGGGGCCGCTCTGACCAGACTTCGCTAGTGCCGAGAAGGCCTCCGAGGCTGTGGGGAGCGGGCTGCAGTCAGTGAGCATGTGTGAGGTACATCCAGGGAACAGAGAGCAAGGTTAGGACTAGGTAGGGCAGGGGGTGGGGAGACGGGAAATCCACCCCACCAGGCTTTGGGCTTCATTAGGATGGCTAAGAGTCACGGCAGGCCCAAGATACTGGGCACCTGCTGCGGGTGGGTGGAAGCCAGCAAGTGGGGGCGACCTGCCCACTCTGCAGAGAGGCCTGCTCCAGCGGCTGCCTGCTGCTGCCGCAGGAGCAGCAGTTGCCTGGCACCTCTGCTGTTGCTATGGCGACAACTGAGGTGCTAACTTGCTAATGAGTCCCTCTCTGCTGCAAATAACAATACTATAGCAGTTAATAGGACCCAGTACCAGCTCCAAGTACCAGTTCCTCTGTATTTAGGAGGCAGGGCCGGGGATCCAGGTACAGGGTGTGGTAAGCCAGTCTGCCCACCTCTGCAACCCCTGCCCACAGCTCTGCCAGATGTGCCCTTGCCCCATCCTTCTTTGCACATTTCAGACCTCCCCACCCATCTTCCCTGCTCTCTCCACCTGGATGCTCTTCTGTGGAGTGTCCTTGCCCCTGGTTTCTCTCAGGGCAGTTTAAGTAATAGAGGGCAGTGCTGTGTCAGGCCCTGGTTGCTGGGAGGAGGATGCCTTTCTGCCGTCCTTCCACTGGGAGAGCTATTTATTTCTGTTGCTTTAGGTGAGAGACAATCTACCCCCACCTCACTGGTGGGAACACTGAGGCTTCACAGTAACAGGGCACAGGGGCTTGGCTAAAGACCCCTCCTACTCATGTCTCCACCCCATGCAGCCCTATCAGGATCCTGGTCTCACTGTCCAAGGACTGAGACCCTGCTCAGGCCTGCAAGGATGACAGGTGGAAGACCATAAGCTGTTCTCGATCTCTCATGGGCCTGGGGCTTGTTGGTCATGGCCTCACACTATACATGAGTCAGGTGAGAACTTAGGAAAATCTTCCCAAAACAGCTCAAAATCAAATCGGGTGGGACTAGCAGTTAGCGTAATGGCTATGTCGCTGAACTCCCATGTAGTCGACCGTGGTTCAAGTCCTGGACCCAGTGGCTTAAACTCACGCCGGGTGCGTGTGCGTGTGTGCCCAAGATCTGGAGAGGAGAATGGAGGAGATGGGGTGGGGCGTGGCCATCCCCCCTGGGGGCTGATTTCTCGCTTTCTGTCTCTCTGTCTCTTTTTGTCTCTCAGGCGAGCGCATGTGCCCTATAGCAAAAACCTCTCCCCCCCCAAAAAAAAAAAAATTGAATCGGGCACCCTTTGGCAGGCAGGGACTCCCCCCACAGTAATCAGAGATCCCCATAGGCTCTTCAACAGGAAGAGGACACTGACCCCCCTTCAGCAGGCCTCGGCAGGTCAGAGACCCATTTTGGCAGGCAGGCCCTGTTGTCAAACTTGCTTGGCATGGCTCTTAGGAGGGGCAAAAGCACTGGCTATGCCCTCTAGCCCCCCAGTGTGGAAGACTAGAGAGCGGGTCTGCAGTTCAGATGTCTGTGAAAGGAACCTCAAGACCCAGCTCTTGGCCAGGTTCCTGGGGCCTTCCCTTGGTGTCAGCTTCAACAGCTCAGCCTGAGGCTGATGTTGTCGGGCAAGTGGATCCCTGGGGCAGGCAGGGTAGTAGAAATGGGGCATGGATGCCATGTGCCCAAGGAAGAAAAGGCCAGGCAGAGGCCAAGTCTAAAGTGTCTGGAGGAAGGAAAGCCTAGAGCTCAGGCCAGGACTCCAGGGCAGGGAAGGTACTTGGAGCTACCCTACTCCAGGTAGTGGAAGGGACTGTGCTGGGGCAATGGCCCACCTCTGCCTTGTGCCTGCTGCTCTGGGAACTCTTCCAGCAGCCCCTTGCACCCACTAGCCTAGTAGCTGATCCTGTTGGGGGTTGGGAAGGGTTGTCTAGAAAAGGTGGCAGTTGCCACTGTTGTCTCTGTCACTGCTTGTGACATGTAAGATGTCCTCGGGGTGCCTCACCCCAGCATCCTAGGTAGCTGTGGGTAGGGGGCATACGGAGGGGGCCTTTGCCTCCCATGGTCCCCTTTCCATAGGGTATATCTGTGTGCCAGTCTCCCTTGCCCTCCAAGTGGGACAGGGATGTAGTGTTGAGAAGACCACAGTAGGAAGGCAGCTGTGGGGGTAGTCCTTATGTGTTACCTTGGGTTGCCCCCACCACTGCCCTAGTCTTCAGTTCCTCTGTATGTAAAGCAAGCTGTCAACCTGAGGCTGTGTGCCTCCTGGGAGGCTAGGAGGCGTGGGTGGGCCTAGAGAGACCAGTCCTGGCAGGTGCCAGGGAGACGGACCTGAAGGGTAGCGGGAAGCAGAGGCTGGTCACCGGTAAGTGCCCAGATCCCCAGCCACCTCCTGCTCCCTCCACATACCCCTCCGCCAAGGGTTCCAGACACTCCGTCATCCTAGGATGTCTTCCACCCACATATCCTGGGATCTACTAGCTCCTGGTGAGGCCTCCTAGACCTCAGGCCGCTTCCCCGTCTGCAGCACCGTGTCCCTCCATCACACACACACACACACTCACTGAGGGAGCTGGGGACTCGCCCCCCAGACCCTTTGTGCAGCAGCAGGCAGCGAAGTGGGACAATGGCAGTAGCAAAGGAGCTCCCGCCTCTATGTCTGAGTGCCCTGCCCAGCCTGTCCACCCACCTCCAGAGCCCATTAGCTAGTGGAGGTAGTCCCAACCCCTGCCATCCACAGGGCCTGGATTATCGGCTTATGGAGCTGCCCTGGAGATGAGGCTCCGGCGATTGGCCTACCCATGCTGTGCCAGTGAAGGGAGGGCAGAGGCCATGCAGGAATGGAGGACGAGGGGCAAGTGCTGGCGGGGGTCCTGGGGGATGGGAAGCTGCAGAAGCAAGAAGGGCGTGAGGTCTGAATGTCAGGGATGAGACAGGTGTTCTGGAATGCATGGCGTCCACAGACCCTGAGGCCCAGGAAGGACCCTTGGGCCTTGTTCTGCTGGCTCAGCCTAGTCCCGCCCTGATCCCCTCCCCCTGCTCTCCTGTGTCTTGCTACATCCAGCTGGGGAGGCGGGGGGCTGGCACATTGCCTGAACGGTCTCTCCTGTAGACTCTGCCAATGCGACGAAACCTTGATTCATTCTGGCGGAGGATGAGTGACCGCACATGCCAGGCCAGGGGCCACCCCTCGGGCCCCTTGGAGCTGCTGACTGTGTGCCTCTCCCCACAGGTTTGACACCATGCGCTAGAGCACTCCAAATTCAAGGCCACGCCCTGGCCATTGGAGCACCCCCTCCTCGCTTCAGGAGTCACCCTTCCCCACTGCCCACTGTCCACCATGGCCGGGGACCGGCTCCCAAGGAAGGTGATGGATGCCAAGAAGCTGGCCAGTCTGCTGCGGGGAGGGCCCGGGGGGCCCCTGGTCATCGACAGCCGCTCCTTCGTCGAGTACAACAGCTGGCACGTGCTGAGTTCTGTCAACATCTGCTGCTCCAAGCTGGTGAAGCGGCGGCTGCAGCAGGGCAAGGTGACCATAGCAGAGCTCATCCAGCCAGCTGTGCGCAGCCAGGTACCCACGGCACCCTACCTCTGTCAGCTCCCAGGCCCATTATCTCCCACCTATCTCCAGGGTCAATGAGGATCTCCTGGCTGGGTGCACCGGGCCCTCCTCTGCCCAAACTGGACTCCTCAGGGTCACAGCTCAGGGGCCCTTGTAGGGCAGCTCCCTTCCCCCTGCACAAGTGTCCCTCCTCAGGAGGCCCTCCTGTCAGCACCATGTCCCCAGCTTCCCCCACCCCAGGGCCTCCTGACCCTGTCTAGGCCATAATTCAGCTCCTGCATGGAAGGCTGGGCTTGCCCCACACACATACTTGTCTCCCCACACAGGAGACAAGACTATCCCAGGCCAGCACAGGGCTCAGAGAGGAGTGGTGAAAGGATGAGGCAGATGTGAACACTCTCAGGGGTCACGTGGGGCACAGGCAGCTGGGCCAGACTGAGGGCAAGGACAGCTGGGTCTCACCCCTCTAGCTGCAGTGAGGACAAGAGGGGTAGCAGAGGCCACGGTAGACTCATATGAGCAGCCCATGTCCCCAGTTCACCAGTTTTCCCCCTCCCCTGGAATCTTTAGTGACCCAGAATTTTCTCTGCAGCCCCCATGAACATCTTTGTAGGGAGGACAGCTTGTTCTTCCCCTGACCCATGGAATCCAGCTACTGGGAGGGACCAGCTGGCCAATGACAGGGAAGGTGGAACCTCCTTCTCCCACCACCTGGGGGCGGGGCATGCCAGCAGCCCTGAGGCTTTGAGGCTTTGGGAAGGTGCTCAGTCACTGCCCTGTCCCACTCGGAGCTAGGACATGAGACACTCCGATTGGAATGACTGCTTGTTGAAGTCCCCCCACCCTAAGGCCAGAACGGGCTCCCTACAGCCTCCAATGAGGGGAATCCAGTGATTAATCACCCCCAGCGAGGACTCCCAGCCAGAGTGTGATCCTATTGGCTGCTGGTGACATCATCGGGCAAGCCAGGGTTGGAGGCTCAGCTGGCTTAAGGGCTGAGTGTGCTTGGGGGTGGGGGGTGGGGGTGCAGGATCTGCTGCTGTCTGAGCAAAAGCTGCTCAACATCTACCCCTATGGCTGAGTGCCTGGAGGGAGCAGGAGAAACCCCTGCTTCCAGCTGCTGTTGCCGGAACTGGTGGTGCAGGGGGAAAGAGGAGGGTTCTTGCTTCCCCCTCAATTTCTCCACTGGGTGCTGGGGAAGAGTCTGGGAGGGAGGAAAGACACACTGGCTTAGCAGTCAGCCCCACTGAAACTCAGATCCGAGGCATCCCAATAAGGGATGAGAATAAGGTTCCCTTTGCCTCTGCCACCCTGGGAGCCAGTGGAGGCCATGCCCGTGTGCTCCTGTCACTCCATGAGCCCTTTGGAGACCACATCACACTTACCTAGGTCTCTTTGATATGTGCCTGCCCACAGTGGACACCCACAAGCGTCCCTTCTCTCCACTGGTGCAAGGGTACATAAAAGTGTGGCTGAAGAGGGCACAGCCCCCTGTCTCTCACAGACCCCTTGGTGACCGTGGGTGTTCACAGCTGTCTGGGTGTGAGCCTACCTGTGTGCCCCAGCAGGTGAAAAGGACAGGAGGTGTGTGGCAGACTGCCTGCACTCCCTGCAGGCAGCAAAATAACAGAGCCCCCTCCCTCTTCTCTCTGAGCTCCTGCTGTTTCCTCGAGCCAGTGGTAGTGGGCAATGGCAGGGGAGAGGGCTGCCTATGCCCTGACCTCTGCCCTTACGGCCCCAGGTAGAGAGCGAGGAGCCACAGGACGTGGTGGTCTATGACCAGAGCACACGGGATGCCAGCGTGCTAGCTGCAGACAGCTTCCTGTCCATCCTGCTCAGCAAGCTGGACGGCTGCTTCGACAGCGTGGCCATCCTCACAGGTGAGCCCCAGAAGAACCCCAGGGGGCTGCAGAGACACCCTCTCCTCCCTGTGTCTCTCCCCCCACTATCAGTTTGGGGGTGGGTGGTAGAGACCTCTAAGGAGGATCTCTCTGCTGAGGAGATCTTGGCACCTCTGGAGTTCCCAGGGCCCCTACCATCCTCTCATGCTGTACCCACACTTCAGGGCTTCCTCCTATGTGGCCCCACCCCTCAATAGCTGGTGAGGAGGTAGACAAATGGAAACCCCAAAGTGTGGCTCATGGTGAAGGTGTCAGACTGAGCCTCCTTCCCCTGCCAGAGCTCCTGGTCAGAGGGAGCAGGCAGAGGTCTCGATCTCCCCAACCTCAGGAAAACTCCCCTCTGAGCCAGAAGGAATCCCCCACCAGGGAGCTCCCGCTAAAGCCTAGCTGAGTGCTGGCTGGAGAGTGCAGGTTATCTCAACAGTCCAGGCAATGATGGCTGTTGCCTGGGGGCTCCAGCAGAGGGCCCCCCAGGGCTACTCAGGCTCCAGAAGCAGCCCAACCAGGTAACCCCAGACTGGAGGCAGGGACCCACCTCCCACCTGTCCCCACCCTGGGCCACATTTACATTAGTACATTCTTGGGCTCAAACAAGCCATGGTTCCACTGACTGCTCCCTCGTGCAGGGAATGGCTGAGCACAGTGTAGAACCAGCTCCTGGAGGGAGCTCATGCCACACCACCAGAAGAAGCTGTCCCAGAGGCGTAAGTCCTCCTGGGCAGCTTGGAATCTCTTGGTGCTCCTACAGCTGGTCTCAGTGTGCCACAGGGCTGGGGCAGGAAGGTGAAGCACATGGAGGGCTGAAGATGGCTACAAGCCCACTGAATAGGGGCAGAGACTTTAGCCCAGCCCATGAGGGAGGCTGAGGGGGTATGGTGGGAGTCCATGGACTATCCCAGGCAGAATACTGGGCAGGCTCCTAGGTGCCATCTGAGCTTAGCCTCGAGGGGTGTCTAGGAGACTTGGGGTTAGCCCACAATGTGCAGACCCTCTCTACATGTCAGAGTGCCTGCCACTTCAGGGTAGGCATGCTGAGGGTGTCTGCGTGTCTGGGCACAGCTCCGGGAGTATAGTCCACAGCATCTGCCCATGTGTGCATGTGTGTGTCCCCAACCCCTGGTGACTATAGTGAGGGATAGATCTGGGACTTAGGTGTTCACGTGTGAACTCTCAGAGCCACAGAACTATACACACTTGATCCAACCCTCGGCCCTTAGGTTCAGTCTAGGGACTGAGAGTGGGAAGTGGGGGGATAAGGGGTGTCAAGAGGACAGTGTCCTGGGCTTTCCCCCCCCTTTTCTGGTTTTTGTCATAGGGCATATGCACTCACTGGAGAGAGACACAGAGAGATAGAGATAGAGGGAAAGTGAGAAATGACCTTGGGGTGGGAGGCCACAATCCCCTCTCCTCCATTCTCCTCTCAGGATCCCAGGCAAGCACGCACACGTGCCTGGCACGATCCTCAAGTGCTGGGTCCAGGATTCAAACCATGGTCAGCCATGTGGGAGCCAGCACCTTAACCACCATATCACCTGTTGGCCCTGTCCTGGGCAGGGCCTCGCTCACTGCCCTAGCCAGAGATTAGAGCTCCCTCTGGGAATCTAACTCACAGGCTGCTTCAGGGAAAGCCCAGAGCCTGGAAGGGCTTATCTCTCTGGGGCCACGGGTAGAGACAGTATGGGAGCCCGGGAACCCTGTCCCAGTGGACAGCCCCTGGGATAGGCCTGGGCTAGGATTCCACAGAAGCACTAACCTGGGACCTGGCTGCACCCCACTGGCTCTTCGAACCCGCTGAGCTGCTGCCTATTCTCCTGCCCTCGATACTCAACCATGCAAATATCTCTATCAGTCCCCATCTCTCCAAAGGCCAAGCCAAGAAGCCCCCCCACCCAGCATGGTGTGAGGGGGTTCATGGTGATACCAAATCAGGACCCAGAGTTCAGGACAGCCTTCTGGCCTTGCCCACAAGCCCCTGCCCTGAAGCAGTCACATGTGCTGCTCCAGGCTGGCTCTGTTCTGAACCAGTGAGGATGAGAAGGAAAACATGGAGTACCTAACTGGAAAGGAGAAATTACTTTCCAGCATCACTGATACAGGACACTGGTGGCTCTTTGGTCTGTTTGCTGCTCAGGCAGCAAAGGGGACCCTGGCGACCTTTCCATGGGGACTCAAAGGAGTGCCAGGAAGATGAGTATGGCATAGCCAGGAGAAGGGGGACCTCACTCCATGGCAGGGGAGGCTGTGGAAAACAAAAGAGGGTGATGGGGCTAGGCCCCAGCTGGAGTCCAAGGACTGGCTGGTGTGACACCCTCACCCTCATGCACCCCCTCCCCCTCTCCACTGCTTGCTCATGGCATCCTGTACGGTGGGTTTGGGAGAGGAGCCTGGCCCTTCAAGCAACAGGCTAGTCCTGCCGCTAAGAGCCTGGAGTTGCAAGTAGCTGCGGAACGCCTGCTGGTGGTGTCTCCATAGGTGGATGGTGCACCATTGCAGTCCAGCAGAGGCACCCCCAAGGCATGTGGAGACCCTGGCAGGCAGTAGCAACCAGAGTGGTCTCTGTGCCTTGGGTCATTAGGACCCTGCCCATGTGTAAAGAGGATTGCAGAAGGGGTGGGAATCAGGGATCGGGGATTGCAGCAGGATAGTGGGGGATGTGGGGCAGGGGTAGGAGCCTGTCTGTGACAGGTTGCAGTTTTGCTGGAAAGTTGGATGCAGGAGTGGCCTGGTCACAGGTTCTCCCCTGGGCGAGGGAGGGTGAGTGTGCATCCTGCTGTAATCGGGGAATCCATTCTCAGTGGGCAAGCTGTGGGTGTGCTCCCTGACCCTCAGAGCAGTGCATAGAAAGGTCTTCCTGATGAAAGGTGCCCATGGGGATTCCTGGGGATAGAGAATGTGTCTTATGCAGACCCAGTGCCCTGCCTGGTCACTCACTTCAAGGGCCTGAGGACTGGACTCTGTCATGGCCAGACCTAAAATCCATAAAGAAAGGGTCCTACAGGGGACATCCAAGCTACCTGGCTCTACCTGCAGGGTCCTGAGAGGCTTTCTCATGGAATTACTGTGGAGGCTGACAAGTCACTGCACTCGTTCAGAGACTTCCCTGCCTTTCCCCTTTTAGGAAAGTTTTGATAGAATTCACCCCCTCTCCCTCGCCTCAGCTAGGCCTTTGAGAATGGTAAGGCAGGCACCAGAGTCCTTGGGGTGCCAAGGGAGGAGGCAGGCCTAGAGAAGAGTTTGTGGAGAGTTAGTGGAGACCCAGGAAACTGCTCCAGTCCAGGAGCCTGCACAGCAGGCATGTGTGTCGGTGGTTTGCATGGTCTGACTACTGAGCTGCCAGGGATAAAGGCAGAGCCCAGCAGACTTCTCTGTCCTTGGGAATCATCCAGGTCCTTGACACTTGCCTCTTCTGCAGACAAGGACAGAAAAAAACACTGGGGGTCCCCAAGGCCTGAGAGCCAGCTTCAGTTCCCTGCCTCCTCGGTGGGATAGGGTGGGTCTTAGCACAGTTGTTCTCTCACACCAGCTGAATCCACCATAATCAGAAACAGGAGACCACTCGCCCTGGAGGCCCCCAGAGCTTGGCTAGCTGGATGCACCTATAGTTCTCACTTCACCTACCAAGAGCAGCAACCATTGGGTGGATGCTGTCCAGTCACTAGTCTGAGTCAGCGGTCTGCCTTCATAGTCCTTGTTTTCCTTGAGCCTTACAACAATGCTGCATGGCAGGCTGGATGAGGAAACTGAGGCCAGCACTGTGACATGCATGGCACATGGCCTCTGAGTCAGACATGCTAGGACTCACATATGGGTCTTGCCGGCTGGTAGAGGGGCTCCTTCTGCCAACCTGCAGCCCAGGACTTCGATGGGCACAGAAGGCAGAGGGCACATGTTAGCCGATGGAGTGTGTCCCCATTGCTGTTCCTGTGTGCTTCTAGCACCCAGGGTTCCTCTGTTTACTCCCGCTGGGTAGAGCTGAGCCATAACTAGACCACAAATGCCCCTGCAGGCTGTGCCAATTCTAGTTGGTGATGTCATGCCTGGGGAAGAGGGAGGGCCCTTCAGAAGCCCTTGCCTTCTGGTCCTGGCACCCAAGCTAGGGCCTGGGGCTCCCAGCCAACTGGAGCCAGAGAAGAATTGCATCAGCGTAGGGGGCAGGCAGGAAGGCTCAGCCTGGCCCCAGGCCACTGGTATGGAGGGATTGGCCAGAGCTGCTTCTCCCTAGGCTGTGGGATCCACACCCTTAACAGGAAACCCCCATGTGGCCTCTGAGCTGGCCCCTGCGCATGCTGTACTGGCTGGCCGCCTCGACCCTACATTTATAGGCATCACAGCAGCGTCCTTGTGGGGCCAACACTAAGTGGCATGAGGAGGAATGTGGGCGTCAGTGCAGGCTGTCAATGTGCAGCAGCAGCAGCACACGTGCCCACTGTGGTGAGTGCAGCCCTCCTGCACTGTGACCAGGTGCTCAAGCCAGAGCTTGCCAGCTAGCCTCAAGCTTGATCGACACTGGGTGCGGCTAAGCCATGGTGGTAGTGGGGTACCATGGGCTCTCTTCTGCCCCAGTTGGCTGCCCACCTGATGTGCTTCCTCCATGCCTCCTCCTGCAGGGGGTTTTGCGACCTTCTCCTCCTGCTTCCCTGGCCTCTGTGAAGGCAAGCCTGCCGCCCTGCTGCCCATGAGCCTCTCGCAGCCCTGCCTGCCTGTGCCCAGTGTGGGCCTGACCCGCATCCTGCCCCACCTCTACCTGGGCTCTCAGAAAGATGTACTGAACAAGGTGTGTGCACAACCGTGGCCTTTGGCCAACCTGGGGAAGAGTCAGGAGCTCAAGAAGCAGCTCCTGGGGTGGTCGGGGTACGAGGGGGAAGAAGGGGCTGAAGGTCAATGGGGAAGAGCGATGGATGAGCCAGGTATGGGATAAGCATGGGCTGGGGTTACAGAAGGACCCAAATCCCCCCAACACCTCCAGTACCACTGCAGGACTTGGGGGAGGGGCCAGCAGGGCTGGGCGAAGAAGCAGGCTCCCAGCCCCTTCTGTAGTAGAGCTGGCATGCCAAACTGCTGATGTCACTGGGCCTGTGGCCAGCTCTGAAAGAATCCCGTGTTTTAAAAATGGTGACAAGGGAAAAGGATAAAGCCACCACCCAGGCAACCATAAAATTCCTGCCCACCACAGCCTGTGGGCAGGGCTGGCATCTCCCCATCCCCCAGTATATGGCCCAGGGCCTCCATGGCAGAGAAGGGATGGGGGGGGCTCCTGGGCCTAGACCCTCAGGCAGACCAGAATCCAGGGCAGATTCTGTTGTCCAGGAGCCAGCTCCAGATAATCTCAAGAATCTAAAGTTCTCAGCCACAGAAGGGAAAGAAGCACCCCTTCATCCCTGCCCCAGGGGGCTTCTCTTCACTGCTGTCCTCCCACCCCTCCAGGACCTGATGACCCAAAATGGAATAAGCTATGTCCTCAATGCCAGCAACTCCTGCCCGAAGCCAGACTTCATCTGCGAGAGCCGTTTCATGCGCATTCCCATCAATGACAACTACTGTGAAAAGCTGCTGCCCTGGCTGGACAAGTCCATCGAGTTCATCGGTGAGGTGGAGCAAGGTGGAGGCTCCAGCTCCTCCCCAGTTCTCAAGGGTTGGGGGAGGGTTTGCTGGAGGAAGGCTAGACTGAGGCAGGGAAGAACTGTGCTCGTGCCTGCTCAGGCATCAGGAGCTACAAGGAGCTGGGGCTGTTGGAAGGAGGGAGGTGGGGTTTCCTGTCTAGAGGAGGGAAGGGTGGTACAAGCTCAGCACTCACCTAGGCACCTTGCCCACCCGCCCACAGATAAAGCCAAGCTGTCCAGCTGCCAAGTCATCGTCCACTGTCTGGCTGGCATCTCCCGCTCTGCCACCATCGCCATCGCATACATCATGAAGACCATGGGCATGTCCTCGGACGATGCCTACAGGTACCTCTCCTTCCCTCCTGGGCCTGGGCACCTGAACTCACATGCCCTTCCGCTCTCCACCCACCTGCACTGGAAGGGCCCCAAATCTCAACCACTGCTCCTACTAGTGCTGCCTGGCAGGGAAAGGGGGGCCCAGCCCAGCCCCTGCGCACTTCAGCTTGAGTGCCCAAGGGTGAGCCAGGGTGCAGGGGAGTGTAAGGCGGGCAGCTGACCCAGAAGTGCCTCTCACAATGAGCCACCTGCCACTCCAGGTTTGTGAAGGACCGGCGTCCATCCATCTCTCCCAACTTCAACTTCCTGGGCCAGCTGCTGGAGTATGAGCGCAGCCTGAAGCTGCTGACCGCCCTGCAAGGTGACCCAGCACCCCACCCTGGGACTCCGGAGCCCCTCCCAGGCCCTGCAGCAGGGCCACCACTACCCTGGCTACCACCACCTACCTCAGAGAGTGCTGCCACCACGGTCAGGGAGGGCAGCCAGAGCGCCAGTTTGGAGCCGTCTGCGCCTGCAGCTGCCCCGGCCACCAGCGCACTGCAGCAGGGCCTGCGTGGCCTGCACCTCTCCTCTGATCGCCTGCAGGACACCAACCGCCTCAAGCGCTCCTTCTCCCTGGACATCAAGTCTGCCTACGCCCCCAGCCGCCGGCCCGACGGCCCCGGGCCTCCCGACCCTGGTGAGGCCCCCAAACTCTGCAAGCTGGACAGCCCGTCAGGGGGCGCGCTGGGCCTGCCCTCCCCT